ACCGTCTCTAAGCACAAGTAAGGTCTCCTATCCTTCCACTAACCCTGCGCTCTAGCACCCATTATATCAAGAGTTGCAAAGAGCAAAGTCTACTGCTAGAGTAGCCAAATTAGCAGACCAATTGAACAGACTGCGTTGAAAGGGGTTATGTTCCATTGCAGGCAGTTTATCACAATAAGCGAACGAGGTACTTTGTCCTCGTTACTGCCCCCCACCCCCCATTGGGAGACGGGCAATAGGATCGGTTTTGCACAGTTGATTCGCCGCACGCGGCTGTTGCGAACCATTCGCTACGCCTTTATTACGGCTCTAGCGTGCTTCATACAGCTCAATCGATATGCGATCATCATTTTAGGCATTATTCTACTGTTAGTTCTTTTATTCCTGTATTTCTTACCTGCTGCTGCATTCTGGTACACTCCTTCGCGCGCGCCGCCCCTCCCCCCGCGACACGACAATTTTGATACTACTGCACCACACCTCTTCCCCTCAGAGGAGCCATGAACGAGGTTTGAGATCAAGATTACGTCAAGTTGTTCGCCCAACTAGTTAATAAGCGATTATGCGGGTTTGAGGACCATGGGTTTTCACGTAGCACCCGATGGCAGTATTTCACAACTGTCGCTCACAAGGGGTTTATACAAAATTAAGCAGCATAACACATGAGACCAAGGAATATACATTTTTTTCAGAAATAATAAAGGTACAAGAAACGTATGATATTTACAGAGGTAATTAATCTCACAACTTCAGATTATGGTAGCAGTGATGGAACCCTATGATATCATTCAGGCATTACCTTCTTTCTATAAGGTCTGCATCTGGGAGAAGCTGTATTTATAAATATATATAGGCATTTGATATGATATGGGGCGCACTCTCATTTATATCCTTTTTGCTTGGCAATATTCAACAAAAACGGCTTGAATCGCGGAATTTCGAGGTATTTCCAGTCGTCGATTAACCATTTCGAGTTTTGCAAAGAAATACGGAACAGCATCGGACGATAGCAGAGAGGAGACAACCTAAAAACGAAATCAAGCCGACATGAGGGTAACAATTGTTGTATTTTAAATCACAGCAAATCCATTCACAAAATTTTAGAAAATACGAGAGATATATTTACACTTGTTGCATTAAGTTATCACTACCGATGTTATTGCTTTCTCATTGAAACATGTTGTTACTTCAAACTAATTCCCCCCAGAAACTCCCCAAGTGCCTGTGCCCATATATTTTCATACCATTTTGTCTCATTCACATTCCCACTATCCATCCATTCGATTTTGCCGATTTCTGGCACTTTTTTCGCAGAGTTAATTCTTGTTAGAGGTGAACCCACTTGGTTCGCAACAAATCCTTATGCAGCTTTACCATTCCACCAGCCGGTTTCCCTATCAACTTCTCGGCAGCCTCATCAGTAAAATATACTGCTAGAACTCCACTAAAATCAGCCACTTCGACCTGTAACAAAACCTCCGGAATAGGCAGCACTCAGAGTAACCATGGATAGGAGCATACATGAAGTGAGTAGAAATATCGAGCCTTTTTGCTATTGCAATTCTGGCAGGACTCAACACCATCCGGACCTCGGACAGCATACCTTTTGCATGTGATACACCTGAACGATACATGAATTATACAGACAGATATATAGGACTAATTTTAAGAGAGAAATCGGGAGTATCGGGAAGTTCCGCTTCACTGCACCACAAAACTCTCAGACTAACGATAAGAAAACTGGGAAAAATTCAAAAAATCTGTCTCCATATAACGATAGGGATGCAAGCAGCCGTTGCTACCCACATATAGCCAGTAAATGTACTTGGGAAGACCCCGGGTTCTCGACATGTTCAACAGCAACTGACCCTAGGTAAACCAAAGCCTCATAATTGATGCTACAAATCCTAGCCATAACAGTTGACACATTGTTGGGATACTCACTGAGACGACCAATCACACGAAGAGCTGTGGTTTCAACTGCAAACAAAAAAGCTGAACTTTTTATGCGAGGACCACTGCGTTTTGCAGAAGGGTATATAATAAGATAAGGATTTACATGTAAAGTCGTCCTCTGATGGAGCGACGTCAAACAGGCCAGTACGAAAGAGTCGATGTAGACATTCAGCTTCAGGATCGTTAGGCTCCAAATCAACGAAAGCTGAGTCGTTCAGAATGAGCGATATTGCACCTGAAAATTGCAACAACGATTGCAGAAAAACTTACAAATTACCTGAAAATAGTCGAATAAATCCCTAAGCACAGATCGGAAATGTACGTGAACTGTTCGTGAAGTCTGCATTGGTAGGAGGCCCACAAACACAGCAAGATAAGGGGAGTATACCTCCATTCCGCCTAATAACAGCTCCTTCAATGGATATCACACAGCCAGTGGATATATTAACAGGAATTGAACTCGATAGCAGCTCCACTTGTACCGACTCCCCGTACCGATCGGCCATCTACAATACAAACTTTTACGTATCAAAGAAGCTAACCTACTAGAATAAGAACGAAGAAATACCTTGATCACAGGAACATTACTACGATTCTGGCCATGCGCTCCACTTTCTATGACGATGCCAAGGAAATCTTAGTCAAGAAATATCATAAACAGGGGTATAAGGTGAACAAATGAAGGCAAAATCCAACCGACAGTATCTTGTGGACAGCTTCTCAGGTCACGAATACATGTGGCGCGAAATGCTTTTGGAAATTCCGCTACCACCTGCAAGAGGAGTGATTGTTTTGAGTAGTTTTTAGGTGTTTCACTCAGTTCAGCCCACATCTTATAAGTAAATGATTTCGCGGCGTTTTGTTAGTGAGGCACTACAGGTTGACAGCATTCATACTACCCACGCTGTTGCGGGATCGCCCTTGGCCGTCGATAAATACCCCGCAGCCCCATTAACCGATGTCTAAGGCTACGAATTTCGAAGTAAAAAGTGCTTGAAGGTAAAATCCTACTGTGAGTAACATGGATAACCACAGATAAGGTGCACAAAAAAATTATTGAGATCAGCATTAATAACTAACATATAGATAAAGGAAGAAAGAGTATTCCACAGAAGGGGAAGTAATACTCGAACGAAACTATGTAGCAATCATCGTAGAACTTAAGAATAGTTAACATATGATAAAGAACGAAGCAGAGCTGAAATTTTAAGATTAGATAAACTAATTAATAAATTAATAATAAATAAATTCATTAATAAATGCAACAGCAATTATCGGTCCGCGAAATGTCAGTCGGAAGTCGACATGCTATACTGCATTCATAGCACTGACGCCGACTGAGGGTACTATGAACTGACTGGAAGTACTCACGCCGGCGTGAATACCTTGAGTCAAAGCCAGAGTCAGCGTCAATACTACAAATGGGACTTTTTGCCAAGCACTACACTAGCACATCCCTTCCAATTTAGCAATGCTTCACTGCACCAAGTAAGCTTGGAAATAAATAGTAGAACGTTCAGGGAATTGAATGTACTAAGGTTTCACCTTTCCGGTGGCCAGCACATTTCTGCCACTAGGAGTCAAGGTCCCAGGTGGATTGGAAGGCATTGGCGAAGCACCTGGAAAACTTCAGGTGAATAGCCGGTGAAATGATTAAAACTGGTGATAAAAGCGTATATTGGACAAATATTATATTAGGAAAAAAATTGAGAAAAAGAGAATGTCAATGGAATAGGGTGGCCAATGCAGTGACTTCACACTGCTTTTCTTCAAAGGTTGATAAGGTTGAAAGATATCTTCACTTATCTTAATGAACGACTGATGAATAAACAGTTTTTACCTCCTATGGATTTTTCAACCGCTAGTGGAGAACAAAGTGGTGAATCACGTGGACTTCTTGAAATTCTAGCAACACTGAAAGACTTGATTTCCATTTTGGACTGTATTTTTGGAAGCCATACCGGCGTATGATTATGCAAACATTAGAGCATAAAAAGATTTATTAACTGCATAAGATAAATTCACAATATTGATTATATACATAGAATATAGGCAAGATCTTTGGTTCCTTCACAAAATTATGGTATGGCTAATGAACATGCAAAGTGTAAGAGGAGTGCCAGAGTGGAGCCGTCAACTGTACAATAGCGTTCATGAAGCGCAGAAGTAAGTGATGGGTTGCAGTAGCATTTCAATATTTCCTATGAAACGCATCCAATTTTTTGAGAATTTCTCGAGTCTTGAAATATCTTGTATTTAAGCTTTCTACAATCTGGTCTCAGGAATAGACTGCTACGGGGCTGTTTGACCCGATCGAGGGAAAGAGCCGAAACCTTTCGATTCCAAAAACCCCTTCATCACTGGGTGAACCAGAAGAATATTTCTATCCCTAATGCATTAAACAGAAACACTGAAAATCGACAATACAAACCGTGGCGTCTTCCGAATGAGTGGGGACTTGAAATCAGCTTGCTTGGGAACGTGACGACAACTTCGTGTGCTATTTGATGATACCCTAAAACGCCGCTTTTTTGTCACTCAGAAGTCGCCTTTGGATGACAAATTTGTATCATTCAATACAGATGCATAATGTTATTACCTCATGAGGTTCTGTGGTGGAGATGGTACATGAAGTTGGGAAGGATCTCGGTTCTCACTATCTACTGCACCTCGCGGACTGTGATTGCCAAAGATAGAGAACAATTTCTATTTTGTCAGCAAACTGCAACACCGCACCTCGGGGAGACGTCTTCTAAGTTGTTGTCCAGACGACGCTTGGCCATTTCTAATGCAGAGTCTGACACGGTTATTGGTTTATTCGTTCCGGCAGTAACGAATCCGACAAAAGTTGATCCTTTCCCGACATCGCTCCTGAAATTAGTATAATAGGAGGTGCGAAGAAACCTAGTGTAAAATATTATAGACGCTGTAGACCATAACTGCAACCTATGCTCTTCGAAATTTAGCTGAAGTGAACTGGGCCTACGATGTTTGTACTGGGGACTCTTGAAATGGCAATGTTAAGAAGCTTGTCTAACCAAGTAGCGAGTTCCCTATGGATTATCTTTGTAACTAATCCGAACAGAGTTATTCTGTAACAAAAAACCGAGCCACTAGCGTGAGACAAGGTCAATCTGTATGATATGATATGATATATGTATATATACATATATATTATATTGAATATTTTTCATGTACATCTAAAAGTCGTCGCTAGTGTTGTTTGACGAGAAAGTTTCAACTTGGAAAACATTAGAATTTCGTTCATTGTCCGACCTGCTTCAATAAATGCTGATACTTCGACAATTTAATGCCATATTCGAGTGCATTCACATCAAGTTATGAAAAGGTTGATTCCAGAACAACAGAAGCATTCTCGCCCCGATCACAGGATTCACGACGATTCACAGAGAACAAAAATGAGGAGTTACAATAATACCTGAGAAGGATATTTATGTGGTAATGTATTTCTGTTCCAGGGAAAAGAATTGCAAGATGAACTCCTGGTGAGTTTATAATTACAACTATTTCACCCCGGTTAGAAGCCGATATGTGGGTTATTAGCTCTAATAACATGGTTCCTGCTAGCATTACTTATGGATGATTCTGTATATCTCAGCAATTGAAGCGGTGTCGTTTATTGAAAAGGAAAGGCCAATATGCTCGGTAAATTGCTCAAAAAAAAACAAGTGTAATAGGTCAAGATTAAGCAAAGCGTCGAATACTTACCTCGCACTAGCGACTCCTTCCTCCTCAAAGTCCTCATCTGAAGCGTGAAGGCGAGCCCGCGCAGAACTTAGGGCTGCCTCACTGACTTTAATTTCACGATTAGAACCAGCCGTAAGAAATCCAGTGAATTTGGGAACATCTGGAAAACTGAGCTATTTCGAAGCTCTAACTGAAAACAATGATGACTGATTACTCACTGCAATTAGGGGGCGGATCTGAGGCAGATTGCGGACAAATTCTGCAAGTAGTGCATAAAAGTTAAGAAATATTTGTTTCATGACTAGGATGACAACTACCTTTTTGGTGCTGGAAACGCATCGTTGTTCCCAACTTGCCGCTTCAGACCACCAGAAGGAGGGCTGCTCGACGAGTTCCTCAAAGTAGAAGGGTCCTTGATATTCTTCTAAGCCATCTTTCTTCATGAAATATCCACTCAATGTAAGGAAATGGTAACTTACAACTTGAGACTTTCGTCAAAAGAATCCTGCACATCTTGTGAAGCCGTCATCTAGAGCTTTCCGGAACGACAACGAGGATGAGTCCGCTGATCAAGCCTTCCTTTTTACTGGCATCCCTGAATTTGAAAATGTTTGCTGTGACAATTAGCGGCTACTAAAAAACGTGGACCAATCGCGACCTCGCGCACCATTTCGAATTTTTCCACCACGAGCAGCAGGCAAGAGTGGGAGGCTTGAAAAAGACTAAAAGAGGTTACAGTAAGCAGTATATATGCCCTCAAAGTTGCTAGGCATAGAATTATTTGACCCAGGGTATGTTCTGGGCAACGACCCGTAATTTGTGCGAGTTTTTGTACGTTTGAGGGTTTAAACTTTTCCTCTTTGGGGGAGAGGTTCCTAGATTCAAGAAGCTCGAAATCCCAACCTACTCATGATTTCAACAGACATTGTGGAAAGTTGTTAACCACAGGATAGTTGCATTTGGAATACGTTTCGGGACAAGCCATGTATTCGTTCAGACCTCAGGACATTGGAAAGAGAGTTCCTTCATATTGAAAACCCGAAGGCCTTAAAATTGGTTTCGCAGGGGAAGGGAGGGGGGGGG